GCCGCTCCACCCTCTCCTCTCCCCCGCTCCCTCCGCCCCTCTCTCTCTCCCCGTCTCCTCCGCACCCTCTCTCTCCCCGTCTCCCTCCCCCCTCTCTCCTCCCTTCCTTCGTCCACCCTCTCTCTCCCGCTCCCTTCCATCCCTCTCAAATCTCTTCCCTTCTCCCTCCCAGTCTCCACTCTCTCTCTCCCGTCTACCCCTCTCTCACTCCCTCACTTCTCTGACCTCATGCTAACCATTTTTAAACAGTTTCTTGTGCTTTCGTTCTGTCATAGGCCTTTTTTGCTTAGCTTCGGGCCACCGTGAACTATAAGAAAGAATTTCCTTCATTGACAGATCGCATTTTTCTCCTGTCGGAGTTTTAAGTATACTTACACTCGCAGTATAAGAGCTCTAATGCCAAGCAATACTTAAAATCCTATATAAACGAGCAAAAACTAAGGGTGGTTTTGAGCTACATCATGTACATATCAACCATAGCTTAAGGCCGGTATGGCTGATGGTTAAGTTCTGGGATGTTTTGCAAGTATTGCGGCAAATCAGAAAACAACATAATGCACTAATCATGCGCCACTTCATATGCCAACGTTGTTATCATTAGAGCTAAAAATGGTAATCTATGCCTGGCATTTGAACTCCCTATTACTTTTAAAAACTAATGTGTGACATTCCAACAGACAAGGTACTACACGACAATGGCTGGGGCGGGGGCGGGCGAGCGAGCGAGCGGAGAGCGAGCGGAGCGGAGCGAGGCGGGCGGAGAGAACGAGCGAGAGCCGAGCGGAGCGAGAGCGAAGCGGAGCGAGCGGAGGGGGAGAGGAGCGAGCGAGCGGGGCGGGAGGAGAGCAGGAGCGGCGGCGGGAGGAGAGCGAGAGCGGCGGGGGAGGGAGAGCGAGCGAGCGAGCGGGCGGCGAGGAGGCACGCGACGCCGAGCCGGGGAGGAGAGCGAGCGAGCGAGCGGCCGGGGGAGGAGAGCGAGCGAGGACGGCGAGCGGGCGGGAGGAAGAGCGAGCGCGAGGAGAGACGAGCGAGGGGCGGGAAGGAAGAGCGAGCGAGGAGCGAGCGCGCGAGGGCGGGAGGAGAAGCGAGACGAGGAGCGAGGAGCGGCGGGGCGGGAGGAGAGCGAGCGAGCGCGAGCGACGGGGGCGGCGGGAGACGAGGAGCGAGCGGAGCGAGCGAGGGGCGCGAGCGGGGGGAGCGAGGCGACGCGAGGAGGAGCGGGGGAGCGGACGGAGCGCAGAGCGAGCGAGCGAGGCGGGGCGGGCGGGAGCGCAGAGGGCGAGCGAGCGGAGCGGCCGCGGGCGGGAGGAGGCGAGCGAGCGAGCGAGCGGGGCGGGCGGGAACGGAGGAAGCGAGCGAGCGAGCGAGGGGCGGCGCGGCGCGAGCGGGCGGGAGGAGAGCGAGCGAGCGAGCGGAGCGGCGGCGCGGGCGGGCCCGGGCGGCGGCGAGGAGAGCGACGCGCAGCCGAGCGGGCGGCGCCGAGCGGCGCGGGGCGGGAGGAGAGGCGAGCGAGCGAGCGGGCGGGCGGGCCGGCCGGGCGGGCGGGCGGGCGGGCGACGCGGGCGGGCGGGAGGAGAGCGAGCGAGCCGAGCGGGCGGCGCCGGGCGGCCGGCGGGCGGGCGGCGAGGAGAGCGAGCGAGCCGGAGCGAGCGGCGCGAGCGAGCCGAGCGAGCGGGCGACGCGGGCGAGCGAGCCGAAGCGGGCGGGAGGGAGGGAGGGGAGGACAGCGAGAGAGAGGGAGGGGAGGAGAGCGACGCAGAGAGGGAGGGAGGAGCACGGAGAGAGAGGGACGGAGGAGAGCGAAGAGAGACGGGCAGCACGAATGACCGGCGAGAGACGAGGACGAGGATGACGGCGAGAGAGAGAAGAGAGAAAATGACGCGCGGAGAGAGAGAGACGAGAATCACGGCGAGCAGAGACGAGACGAGCGAATCGACGGCGAGAGAGAGAGAGAGAGAAATGACGGCGAGAGAGAGAAGGAGAGAACTGACGGCGAGAGAGAGCAGAATCGGACGGGGCGAGAGAGAGAGAGAGAATGACGGCGAGGACGAGAGCAAGAGAATGACGGCGACAGAGGAGAGAGAGAGATGAAAACGCGCGAGAGAGAAGAGCAGAGAATGAAAGCGAGAGAGAGATGCAAAGCGAGAGGAGAATGAAGCAGCGAGCAGAGAGCCAATGAGAGCGAGACGAGCAGAACTGACGAGCGGGCAGAGAGCAGAACTGAGAGCGAGAAGACGAACGACATGAGAGGAGAGGCAGAATGAGAGCGACGAAGAGAGGAATGAGAGCGAGAGAGAGAACTGAGAGGAGAGAGAGAACTGCAGCAGCCGAGCCAGAATGACCGAAATGAAGAGCGAGAGAGAGACACCTGAGAGCGAGAGAGAGACGCAACTGAGGCAGCGAGCAAGAGCAGAGACATGAAGCCGCAGACGAGAGAGAATGAGCAGCGGAAGAGAGACGAATGACGGAGCGCCGATGAGCAGAGAATTGCCAGCGAGAGCCAGAAGAGACAATGAGCCACGGCCGACGAGGCAGCAGAGAAATGAGAGCGAGAGAGAGAGACGAATGAGCAGCGCAGAAGAGAGAGAGAATGAAGCGAGCAGAGCCAGAGAGCAATGACGAGCCCGAGAGCAGAGAGAGAACTGACGAGCGACGAGAGAGAGCAGAACTGACAGCGAGAGCAGAGAGACGAATGAAATGAGAGCGAGAGAGAATGAGAGCGAGAGAGAATGAGAGCGAGAGAGAATGAGAGCGAGAGAGAGAAATTGGCCAAGACCCATGTACCTGTGTCTTGCTATCTTCATCAACACCTTCACTTTCTGCTTCACGTGCTCGTTTGCCACCAACACCTGCTTGAGATGTTGTCACAGTGTTACTACTGCTTGAAGCCTGGCTGCTTGGAGCAGCTGCTGCCTGTTCCACTTGCTGTCCCTGGCCAGACAATGGAGGGACAGTAGCTGGCTGCTCCACGCGAGGAAGGACCATTGCCACAGCCTGCTGTCAACAGGTGTGATCAACAGAATTATATCACCTATTTCCACCATATGTTCACAAAGTAGCAAAATAAAAAACAATTGAAACTTTCTTTACACAACTTTATCCAGGCCAGCCAATTTCTAACACACTTCCCACAATTCTAGTTCATAATCCTAACCTCACCCTGACAAATCTTGAATCACCCTGAATCATATGTTCTTGGTAATTGATTTAGTATTACATTAGTTTAAACAAAAAATAAATACTTGAATTATGTACTAAAAATTACAAAACAAAAGAAAAATGTTACCACTCAATCAAAGATTTAGTACATTTACTGCTTGTCTTTCTTGATTTGAACCATGTACAAATGTTTCTTTAACCTGATATAATATGAAAAATTATTAATTCCACTACTATGAATGACATAACATTCAAAAGTAAATTTACTGTACATAATTCTTTAATAGTCAGGCTGACAAGCTGTATATTTTCTGCATCATTCAAACATCATTGTTAAAAAAATTAATTCAAAATAGAAACCAAGCAATAAACAATAAATAAAGAAACAAAATTATCATTACCTGGCCCTGCTGAGGGGCAGATGGTGCTAAGGCCTGAGTCAACTGCTGGGATGTTCCAGCAGTGGGTTGACTCTGTGGCAGCGCCTGAGGTGGCTGTTGCTGAGGAGGTTGCGGCTGCTGTGTTGGCTGAGGTGGTTGCTGAACTTGCTGCTGTTGCAGCTGGGGTTCCACCTTGTGTTGGGAGACATGGTCAGGTTGTTGCCTGAGTTGCTGTTGTTGCTGCTGTTGGGGAGAAGTGCCAGTCTGTGGTGTAGCATCAGTAACTGCTGGCTCTGCTTCCATATCCTGTTTTCAGAAGAGGGGAAAAATAATGAATGTTCATCTATGTGTGCATATAAATATACTCTTTCATTGTTAAGGGAAACCATCTATCCAAAAAAAATCTTTTTTGGTAACGACCTTAAACTACACAAATGTGTAACGTGAAATAATACCAAGGAAACAAATATGTAGTGAAATATTGTTCTCTAAGACCATTTTTAATTCCTCATATATGTATGTATATACGGAGTAATATTCGAAGTTTAGAGAAAGTTGTGTAATGTTGAGAATAATTGATTTCAACAAAAATCCACATTCTGGAGTCCCCTGATAGCGCATTAGGTTGGGTTTCTTTTCCAATACATCCATCCACCCATCCGGCAATACCACTAGTACCTAATTTATTTATTTATTTATTTATTAACAGACTGTGAAATACAAATAATATAATACAAGTATGTACATTATATTCTGCTGAGGAATTAATCCAGTGCGCGGGCCTGTTATCAAATATTTTTTTGTCCCCCAGAGCAAGTTTTTTTCAAGAGCTCGTTTATAAAAGAAAAGAATACAAAAAAAATAATCGGAAAATATAATTAATAAACAAAGAAAAGAAGCACGAAGCATATATTACAAAAGAAAAAGTAAATTCGAAGTACAGAAAGTAAAAAAGTAGTTATCACAATATAGTTTTAATTTCATAATTCTCATTGAAAAACTGAAGAAACTGTCTCATCGCTAAGCTCAATTATAAAGTTTCTAAGCAATTTCTTTGAATTTTTACGCAGTTTATCGTAGCTGGTATTTTTGAGTTCACTACTCAGTAAAGTAAAAATCCAACAACTAATATAATTATGGTTAAGTCGACTGATTTCTTCCACAATTTTCGGCGGTACTAATAACTTGTTTTCTCTTATTATTTTTACATAGTGATATATATTTGTTTAAGATAGTCAAAATTATTCAAAAGAGATTTTTCTAAGAATAATTTCCTTATAGAGACAAGTCTATACGTTTTAAAAAGTAATTCAGAGGAATATAGTTTGGTTTTTCTATAAACGATGTTAAGTATTCTCTTTTGAACATCTTGTAGCATTTTAATTGTGTTATAATATGCACCACCCCATGTTATAATTCCATAACTCGCAATATTCCAAAATAATGCTTAATACATTATTAACAATTGATTTTTGCTAAAAATACTCCGCAATTTATAAAACACAAATTAAATAATGGACTTATTTGTGACTTGTGTGATATGTTGTTTCCACTTCAAATTTGAGTCAACACATATTCCAAGACATTTGGCTGAATTCACTCGTGTCAGAAATGGAAAATCACATATCACTATTAATATCACACGAACTAGTATGTAACTGTAGCTCAATATTTGAAGGTATGCTCTCAACATAACTACCATAGGTTATGAAAACAGCTTTAACAATTAGCGTAGTGTCATCAGCGAAAGACACAATTTCACCCTTTGGTAGAATATCAAAAAAATCATTAATATATAATATGAAAAATATAGGACCGAGAATGGTTCCTTGAGGAACTCCACAAGTTACATTTAACTCGTCACTGATAATATTATTGATTTTTACCACCTGCTTTCTCCCAGTAAGATAACTTTCAATTAATTTGTTGGCAATTCCTCTAAATCCATTGTTGTTATACAACTTTTTCAACAGAATTTTGTGATTGACCGTATCAAAAGCTTATGCTAAGTCCAAAAACACCGATAAACACAGAGTTTTTATCGATAGCAAGGCTGATTTGGTCAGTGACATATTTTAACACATCTTCAGTACTCTTATTTTCCTGGAATCCAAATTGGTATTTATTTATAATATTATGCTTATTTACAAAATTTATTATTATTTTAAGAACTTTCTCAAAAATTTTGCAAAATTTGATACCAGTGATATGGGTCTATAATTCATAGCTTTTTCTGGATTTCCAGATTTAAAAATGGGTACAATTTCCGCTTTTCAAAATGATCAGGAAAAATTCCGTCCCTAATACTCTTATTGATAATATGTACGAGCGGTTTGATTACATAAGGGGAAATTCTTTTTATAATTTGAATTGATATTTTATTGCTACCTGCCTTTTTGTTACTTTTCATACTTGTTATTATTGTCAGAATTTCTTCTTCATTGGTCGGTGTAAGGAAAATCAAAACTCGAATCGTAGGCTCGTTTGCCACATCATTGCTAATTTCTCCAAATCCTGCTGTCATTTTTGAACCAATTTCAGCAAAGAATTTGTTGAGATGATTAGCGATTTCGAGAACTCCATTTTCACCTTCAGTATAGATTTTATTATCACTTGTTTCTCAATCTTATTTTTTTTTTCCAATTTTTTATTAATGTATTTCCATAGATTATTGACGGTATTCAATAACTTACTAACTATTTCAATGTAATATGACTCTCTGGCTTTTTTAATTAAAGTGTTTAGCACATTTTTATATCTAATATAATTACTTTTAATTTCAATATTATCAGGATTCAGTTTCATTTTTTTATAGGTTTTTATTTTTACATGATATGATTAAGCGCTTAGAGATCCATTCCTTTCTGGGTTTATTTTTACCATGAATTAGTGTTTTAGTTGAAGAAAGGTCAATACTTTGTTCGATGATCTTTATAAATTTATCAAACGCAAGATTTAAATTTGTTTCATAATATACAAAATTTCAATTTATAGTAGTCATTATTTTAATTAATTTGCTATATTTTATTTGGGTTTTGAGTATTGGATTTATATTTGGATCTCTAACAGTTGGTATAGTGTCTATAACCACCATTGTTGCAAGGTGGTCTGTCAAATCCAGATCACATACTAATGGTGTTATAGAAATACTTTCAGCGGTTTTAGCAAAAACATGGTCTAGAATGTTGCTGAGTTTTGTGTGATCCTAGTAGGGATGTTTATCAAAGATCTGTAACCAAATTCCAAAAAATTGTTAAGATAATCATTAACCAATTCATTATCATTCAATATGTCAAGGCTCATGTCTCCCATTATAATGTGATTATCAACATGGGACAGATCATGTAAATAAATATATAAATCACTTATAAAATCCGTTAGCGTGACGCTTTGGGATCTACAAAATGATTGAATATAAATTTTTCCGTTATTGGATTCCAGTTCAGTATATATTACTTTGATTTTTCCCATGCTTTCGCTAAAGTTCGTATGTCTAATAGTATTCCTCACATATATGCAAGTACCATCATTCCTATTTAAATTACTATTTACTTGAAAAAGCTTATAACCATCGATCTCAAACCAATGAACATAATTTATTTCAAATGTTTCTGTACATATAATAATACTGTGTTTCTCAGCCATAGCATTAATACATTATTTCAAGTTATCGAGATTTCTATTTAAACTCCTTATATTGATGTGCATAATTTTTAAACCAGAGATATCATATAAGTAATCATTTTTCAATTCATTTAAGTTTCTGCATTTATTTGTGTTATAATCTGGTAAATTAGATTCTAAATGTTCCATATAAAATTTAAAATTAAAATATATAAGAGAGAAATTGTGTGTATCCCAGTCACACTAGCACAATGTTCTGGAAATAGAAACATTTTTGTAGTATTTGTATGTTCCACATACATCTTCATCAAAAGCAAAATGGTTCGTGTCCAAATTTAATTTAAATTTCTCATTAGCCTTGACGCAATTGCTACATTTTTTCCGTTATCCCTTTTACAATCTCTAGCTTCGTGAGTCCCGGCACAGTAGGGGCAAGCAATGTCGTTCTGACATTTTTTAGCACTGTGGCCATATCCGTTACATTTAAAACACCGGTTCACATTGTAATCTTCAAAAACCCTACATCTTTGCCAACCTAAATACAGATAGTTACATCTAATAACCTCTCGAAACAGGTCAGTGTCCAATTCTACCATGTTTGTTCGTGTATCTTTATGTTTGAATTTTTGAACATGAAGAACTTCAATCTCACCATTTGTAAGATCAGGGAAATTCTGATCAATCAAAGCCGATTTTGCACTCTGGACATCGTAGTGCTCACTTACACCAACAATCTTGATTAGCGGTTTTCTCGTCTTTTTCGATTCGATTTTACACTTATCTTCGAAAACATTTTGTAATTATTCGATCATCTTGTCACTATCCGGTTTCGAGTCACATTTAATAATTACAGTTCCCCTTTAACTTCTTTAACTGAGCTCACGGCGACTTTCATATTTGTCACGTTGATTTTCTCTTTCATTTTCTTGACCACTTTACCAACCTCATTTTTGTCAACAGGTTTTACAATGATCGGAGGAACCTGGTTGATCGCAACCTTCGTCTTGTTTGGCAAAACACTCGCATACATTGTTTTAGTCTCCCAATTTTTATTATTCTCAATTTCGTTGATCTTTTCATCGAGAAGATCATACGAAGGATTTTTTTCGAAAACGGATATTCCCTGCTCGATCTGCCTCCACTTGAGGTGCTGCAGTTTTGAAAATCTTTCTTTAAAATTTTGGGGGTACTTTACAAGAAGTCCATGGAAATTTTCAACATTTTTTTCAAAAATTGCACCATATTTTTTCTTTTAAATTTTAAAAAATTCTTATAATGGTGACATAGGTCCGATGTTGACAGTTAACACTGACATTTTTAAAATTGCAAAAGTTTGAATTTCTTTTCGTATCTTCCTAACTACAAAACTGAAGATAGAGATATTTCTTTCAAATGAAATTTGTTGACCATAATTAGTTTTTTCATTAAGATCATGCACATTTGTTGTTGAAATATTTGCAATTTTTAAAAATGAGATTTTCGAAAAAACTACTATCGAATTTATTCTTTATGCTTTTGGTAGGGATAGCGCTAAGGGTTCTGTATACCATGACGTAAACGCCACACTTTCTTTACTTGTCTGAGCTGTCGTTAATATGTACACTAGGGGTGATTTGTTCACATTCTTGTATTTATGTGTGCATGTGCTTTAAAAACGTTTTTATGAAGTTTCTCAATAACTCTAACAGATTCAGGGAATATGAACTCAAAATTTTGCATCTTCAGAAATGGTCAAACACAATTTTCTCAAAGTCCGCTCCACTTTTCTCTTCAAATTTTTGTACAACTAGTACTCTTTATAATAACAAAGTTCACTTGGGAGTATCCTTTTGTTTTTTAAAAATTAGACAAATATAATTTTTTTTTTAAATCTCTGACGCCTTTAATATGGACATTTCCAGTGATTTGTAAACACATATGTAGTTATGAGTTAAAGTTCTTGAAATTGTGCATTCATAGTAATGCTTAAACGCTATTTTCTAAAAAACTGCTCAGAATTTTTGAACGAAAATTGCCAATTATGATGTTTTAATTTAAACAATTATAACTACTTACAAGAACATTTATATACATTTAATAACCTCTCGAAAGACATAGAACTCTAAAGACAATTAAAGACATAGGAAGTTGAATTTTCCATGTCTTGAGATTCCATGGAAGTATTTGAAATGAAAGACCTATTAGAAGCTGAAATAGCAGTTTGTACTCATTTAAGTACCTTCCAGCATAATTTTCCATGTAACGTTCCACATTGTTTTGATATGATAGCACAATACCATTGCAACAATTGGAGAGGGATTACAGTGTTATCCATTCCATGCAAGATTTGGTCCAAAATACATTTTTAATAGAATTTAAAAAATTGAATAAAACTTTTGAAATTTGAAACAAAAAATCAATTGAAAATAGAATAAGAGCACGTTGGGTTCCAACCAGAGAAATAATGTATGGAACATCATAATGAAATTATTGAGCACTGTAGAAGGTGTAGAATGAGCGAGTGAAAGAGTGTAGAGTGTAGAATGGAGAAGTCGAACATAGGCTGTCTTTCTTGATTTTAGAAGGCTTCTGATTCGCAAAATGAAAGAGTATGACAGTAGCAAGGAAGATAAGATACCTGAAGTTTTAATTAAACATATAAAGGAACTGTATGATAATTTTGGATGCTACCTAATGCAAGGGGGAGGGGGGGATATCAGACAGAATAGAAATAAAACAGGGAGTGAAACAAGGCTGTCCTGTCACTTTTCCTATTTATTGCAAGTTGGATGATGAGATGGAAAGAGTAACAACAAAGGCAAGAATAGGTATTACATGCGGTCTGACAAGCACTCTGGCAGAGCTAGAGTATGCAGACGATGTATGTCTTCACCTTCAAAATTTTATGAATACTAAGTCAAAGCTTAACGACATATGAGGAAGCACAGAAACTGGGGATGCTAATTAACTGAAGTAAAACAAAATCTTTAACAATAAATGTAATTGTCCAGGACACCTTACAAATTAACCAAGAAGGAGTAGAAGAAGTTCACAAGTTTCAATATCTGGGGATTATAATAACTGATGATGTAGGAGCAAATGAAGACTTAAAACAAAGAAACAACAATGCTTATGCTTATTTTCTACATCCAAGAGAAATGTGGAAAAAGAGGAATATTGCCTTAAAAACAAAACTACACATTTTTAATTCAAAAGTAAAATCTGTACATTTATATAGAACAGATATTTGGAAATTGATGAGGAAAATAACACACAAATTACAAGTATCCATAAACCGATGTCTATGAAGAATCCTACACATTAAGTGGCATCAAGTAATAACAAATGAAGAACTGCTGAAGAAAGCTGATGAAACATCAAGAGCAATGCAAATAAATGGAGAAAATGGAACTGGATAGCACGTACTTTCAGGAATCCCCGAATTACAATTGAGAGAAGCATTATGTTGGAAACCACAAGGTGTAGAAGGCAAGGTCGGGCAAGAACAACAGAGAAGGACAGTGGCAGGAGCGATCTGGGAGACTAGTAGGACATGGAAAGAAATCATCCTTACAGCAGAAAACCGAGTAAGATGAAGATCCTTTGCTGAGGAACTCTGCTCTAAAAGGAACTAAAAGAAAAAGAAAGGGAGAAAGGAGAAAAAGAGAAAAGAAAAAAAACAATAAAAAAGAGGGGTGAAACAAACAAGGTAACTTCTGGTGAATGTGAGTTTTCCTTTCCAGTTCTGACTCTCAAGATGAATTTCCTCTCACAGAGAGCCCAAAATTGTTTTAATGTCATGATTTTTATGATGGCAGTGTTGGAGACGAGGGCGAGGGCGAAGGCAGTGTTGGCGACGAGGGCGAAGGCAGTGTGGAGAGCGAGCGGCGAAGGCCAGATTGAGGAGGGAGGCAAAGGTGCCGAGGGCAGGTTTGAGCAGCATGTTGGAAGACGAGGGAGCATGGAGCAGGCGAAGGCAAGTGTTGGAGACGAGGGCGAAGCAGTGTTGGAAGACGAAGCGAGAAGTTGGAGCGAGGGAGGCAGTGGTTGGAGACGAGGGCGAAGCAGTGTGTGCGGGAAGGTATGAGACGAGGGTGGAGCCACGAGGGGAATGGAACTACGGCAAGGCGAGGGCAAAAACAGCACACAGTGCGAGTAAAGCCGTATTAGGGGCACAAGTGGAGTAGACAGTACTTAGGGGCGCAAGTGGAGTAGAGCAGTACTTAGGCGGCCAAGGGAGTAGAGCAGTACTTAGGGGCACAGTGAGTAGAGCAGTACTTAGGGGCGCAAGTGCGAGCTGAGTCAGTACTAGGGGCGCAAGTGGAGTAGAGCAGTAACTTAGGGGCGGCAAGGTGAAGTAGAGCAGTACTAGGCGCGCAATGTGGAGTAAGCAGTACTTAGGGTGCTGCAAAGTGGAGTAGATGGCAGTACTTTGGGCGCAAGTGGAGTATGAGCATACTTAGGGGCGCAAGTTGGAGTAGGCAGTGACTTAGGGGCGCAAGTGGGAGTAGAGCACAGTACTTATGGGGCGCAAGTGAGTAGAGCAGTAACTTAGGGCGCAAGTGTAGTAGAGCAGTACTTAGGGCGCAAGTGGAGTAGAGCAGTATTCCAAGTGGGAAGCGACTTAGGAAGTGGAGTAGGAATGTTAGGGGCCAGTGGTAAGAGTTACTTAGGGGGCGGCAAGTGGAGTAGAGCAGTACTTAGGGGCGCAAGTCGAGTCGAGAGCATGTACTTAGGGCGCAAGTGGAGTAAGTAAACTTAGGGCAAGGAGACAGTAACTTAGGGGCGCAAGTGGAGTAGAGCAGTACTTAGGGCGCAAGTGGAGTAGAGCAGTACTTAGGGGCGCAAGTGGAGTAGAAGCAGTACTTAGGGGCGCAAGTCGAGTAGAGCAGTACTTAGGGGCGCAAGTGGAGTAGAGCAGTACTTTTGGGGCGGCAAGTGGGTAGAGCAGACTTAGGGGCGCAAGTGGAGTGAGCCAAGCCAGTGATAGAGGGAGTCGCAACAAGTGGGCAGTAGAGGCAGATACTTAGGGGCGCATATGGAGTAGAGCCAAAAAAAAAAAATAAAAAAAAAAAAAAAAAAAAAACTACTTAGGGGCGCAAGTGGATGTTTAGAGCAGTCTCAGAGGCAAACAAGCTGAGGTGAGCAGTAGTTAGGGGCACAAGTGAGTAGAGCAGTACTTAGGGGCACAAATGGAGTAAAGCAGTACTTAGGGGCACAAATGGAGTAAAGCAGTAATTAGGAGCATGTGGCATTGCACAGGTGGAAGAGAGATTGCAGATTGCAGCATAATTGCAGTACATCAATAAAGAAGGCCATAATATGTGAATAATGTTATGGCGAAAAAGAAAGAAAAGAAACGAAATCTTCCAACTTCATCATCCAAGCCACTATGTTAAATAATTTAATGTGTGTAAATAAAACTATTTTGCAATAATAATCATTTTCATCTTTATGTGTTAATCAATATTAACCAATTTGAGTTTTCACTTTTAGTGAGTCAATTGTATAGGATTATTTTATATAATCGCAACCTTCTACAAACTGTTCCATGAATCACGACAAAATTAAAAACAAGGAATGTTTCTGCATTTACCTGTGTTGACTCAGCCACATTCTGTGCTGTCTGAGGAGGCTCCTCACGTGAACTAGGAGTAACTGTTGTCACTGTTGGTGGGACAGCGACCTGGCGTACTACAGAAGAACCACTGCTAGCTGAACTAGTGGCAGGTGTGGGAATGTAATCAGTATGAGATGAAGTTGGTGATGATGACAACCCTTCAGGACCACTACCGCTGCTGGAACCAGTGGTATGAACCAATTGTTGCTGAGGTGGGACCAACACTGGTGTAGCAGGACTGTAGGTAGGAACACAATTTGTTTACAGAAACTTCTCAACGCTTTACGCAATACTTACTGAACATTAAGGAACCAGTAAATACCAGACAAGTATTGAAAGTATCAACAATGAAGAACACTAACCTCAAGGTACTGCTGGCAGACTGACTTGTAGGAAGGACAGCTGCTGTCCTGGACTGCATGGACATCGGTCTGATACTGGCAAATGGAGTATCCCCCCTTCCAGCCCATGGTGTAACAGTTACAGATTGCTGGGACTAAAGAAATAAAAGCATCAATCACCAAAATTAATTTTCTCTTTCCCATGTAACACTAATCACTATATTTTAATCAATACGAAAGTAATACTTGAAACTCCATGCAATAATTAAGAGTAACTACAGCACCGGCAGTGTATTAGTGTAACAGATCCTTCACCACATGCTGTGGTACATCATGTGACCTGCTCAGAAGCTATAAGCTTGTGAATATTTGTTTAATTTCTCAGGGTCAAGATGCAGAATTGCTGCTCATCTAACAGACACGAAGTCGCAGAGGCAATAAGATGTTGATATCAAGATGCGTCAGCCTACCGGTTAGTGTTAATGTTTTGAGATTTCATTTATCTGACATGTAGGAGGGCCATTTGATAGTAATGTGTACCAACTGCATATAGATTTGTCAGATTATTGCTTATAGTACATCAATTGTCTCTTACACGCTGCTGGTACTTTAGCTCTTGTGACATCGCCAATAATAATCAAGCTGCAGACTTATAGGTATGAAAAACTGTAGAAATAGGCAGGCAAAATATGCATTTAAAAAATATAAAATAGAACTTTAAAAGGGCACCACACATTTTTCTTATTTTCATTTATGTGGTTTTGTAAAAAGTTTCTGAAGAAAACCCAATATAGTTACCTTCATGGAAGGTTGCTTTCATCATTGTTCTGACAAATCTTCTTAGAAATCCTGTCTTTTATTGTTGGACAATAAGGTCAGAATAGGCTGAATCACAGTAGTTAATTTTTTTCTTTTTATTAAATGAAAGGAATGAGTTTTTTGTCATATTTAATTTAAATACAATTGAAAATTGTGTATGATTTATTTTCATGCTCATGCATAACACAAATATTGTAATTAATAATGTTAAACACCACGTATGTTCCGGCATTGTATCTGAAAAAATATTTCAAAATTTTGCGATTTTCAAAGATTCAGAGTTCAACGAAACTGAGATTTGCGCCATTCTTTTAAGTGCTCCTTGTTCTTGTGGAAAAAAATTGAAGCAAAGGTTTGTAGTGGGTTTTGAGAATCTTTTTATGATTTGCACTAATTTCAAGAAAAAATTTGGCACACACGCTTTTCTCTTTCTCTCACTCTCGCACACAGAGCAGAATGGCATAAGCGATGGAACACTTTCTCCAAGGGAAGATGGACATACCGACTGAATCCTGTAGATGGTCCTACACTTCTGATTTCTACCTACACCTACAAAACTGATTTCTAGTCTACACCTACACTTGAATCTTTGGTCAGTCAAAAGTATGACAGGGTAAATTCTATCTCATGCAGCTTCTAACGGGGCATGGTTGCTTCAGAGCCTGATATTGAGGGCAGAGACTGATATTGATCAAGCACTTGTTTTTTTGTTTTTTCAGTGCCCGCATTCCACACCTCAACAATGAAGATACTTGGTATAGAAAAGATGACTCCATAAAACATAGTTGCATGTATGCTTGGTTCCAAAAGCAATTGGAAGTCAGTGTGCACCGGACGTGTGGATGGAATTCCAAAGCATACAGAAAGAAAGGAGGGATATCTGTTCCCTTATTTGAGTAATATCATGTGACTGCGTTACCATTCCACTTTCTGTGATTTGCGGAGAGGATGGAGGAAAAGGGAGGTTCCATTTTAGTGAGTCAAAATTTCACATGCTGGGTCGTACGGGCTACCCAGTGTCTCTTGAAGAATTCCATTCACCTTCCTCAAAACACTCAGGCACACCCAGACACAAGAAGAAAACTGTTTTTAAACATATGATTGTTTTAGAACAGATTTAACACAAGACAAAAATCTCTGAATTCAATATTACATTTTTGCAATTTTCAAAAATTGTGTTCGCAATGAATGGAACCAGCACCAATTTTTATACTATCTTTTGATACAATGAGAAAATTTTAAGAAAAACTTCCTCTTTTTGAGAAAATATTGTTTAAAAATTTGTTGTAAAAAGTTATTTGACTACACCAGCCATATTGTACGTGTTTGGAAATACAAAATATCTGCACTGCGGTGTTCGTAAAAGGAAATAGATTTATCGATAGTTGTTTGATAGATAGTATCAATAGTTTTTCTCTGTACTGCAGAATAAAAATGTACATTTTTTAAAATTAAGGGTAATGGCACACTGATCAATAAATATGAAAATAAAGAACATTTAGGCATTTAAACATAAAATAGGTTATTAAACGTAAAATAGGTAGCGAAATATGCATTGATATGCACCATAAAATTCACATTCAGGGTATCCCATTTAACTTGACAACTTGAAATAACTCAAAAATACACAATGTATGAAAAATGGAGCCGAGACTAAATCTAAACAGTTTTGAAGAGGCAATCGTTCTATGCTAAAATCAACACACACACACACAC